AGTAGAGATGGTAACGGTTCCTTGGGAGGTGAGTTTACTGGCTTCAGTGATGCTGAATGGTATCGAGGAGAAGGTAGGAACCTCACCCCCCAAATCCAGGCTTGAGCCTGTTGGAAGTGGACCCACTGCAGGGCACCTATGGGTACCATCAATGTCTTCTGAAAAGTTTTTTTTTTTTTTTTTCCCCAGAAAAGAACAACAATCTCCTCCTACAAACTGTTCCTTGGGGCCACTGCCACATTATACAACTCTGGTCTATTCCATCAAAGATCAAACCTTATTGAATAGATTTTAGGGGTTCATCTAGATAATAAACGAGGGAAATTTCAGTTTCTGTAAAAATTAAATCTTCACATGGAGGTGAAACATTTCCTGGAACAAGGGAAACCCTCTGGATTGAAGATGATCTTTAAGGAGAAAAAAAAGAATCACAAAACTTCATGACGGACTGATCTAATCAGTCATTTCAACACATGGAAAAATTGTCCTTCGGTTCAAGGAAATAAGCAAGAGTTTTGAGTTTCTGGGTTCTTGGCTACATTGATCCAGTTGTACACCACTTATGAGTGCGTCACTGTTTTTTTTTTTTTTTTTTTTGAGACAGAGTCTTGCTCTGTTGCCCAGGCTGGAGTGCAGTGGCACAATCTTGGCTCACTGTAACCTCTGCCTCCCTGGTTCGAGAATTCTCCTGCCTCAGCCTCCGAAGTAACGGAGATTACAGGTGCCCACTACCACACCTAATTTTTGTAGTTTTAGTAGAGATGGGATTTCATTATGTTGGCCAGGCTGATCTCGAACTCCTGACCTCAGATGATTCTCCTGCCACAGCCTCCCTCCCAAAGTGCTGGGATTACAGGCGTGAGCCACCGTGCCTGGCCTGCTTCACTGTTGAGAGCAGGCCAGTGCAAAACACATTAAGGTATTCCCTACTAGAATTCCATGTTTGCCCACGCAGTCAGACATTGGCCAGGGTTTATCACCTAAAATTATCCCTCAGGCGCTTTCGAATTGAAGATGCTTCCAGGACTGTGAGACAATACATTTCTGTTGTCCAAGCCACCTAGTCTGTGGAAATTTGTTACCACAGTCCTATCTAATACAACTCCCTTTCTCAGATTCACTTACTGTGCACGTTTTGCCCCAATTGCTTTATTATTTGCTATCTATCAATACATAATTTTTTCAGAAGCATTTGAAAGTAAGTTACAGGCTGTGCACAGTGGCTCATGCTTGTAATCCCAGCACTTTGGGAGGCTAAGGTGGGCAGATCACTTGACATCAGGAGTTCAAGACCAGTCTGGCCAACATGGTGAAACCCTGACTACACTAAAAATAGGAAAATTAGCTGGTCGTGGTGATGTGTGCCTATAATCTCACCTCCTCGGGAGGCTGAGGCAGCAGCATCGCTTGAACCCAGGAGGTGGAGGGTACAGTGAGCTGAGATCACATCACTACTCTCCAGCCTGGGCAACACGGTGAGACTCTGTCTCAAACAAACAAACGAAACAACACCAAAAACCATTAAAAAATGGAATTATCTTTATTTATTTATTTTTTCTAATGTCTTCTTACGATACGATTAGGTGATGCATTCCAGATGAGAATACTACAGAAGTTGCCCTTTTCAACGGAGGTTGTCCTTTACATCTGAGCTACACAATGTCCATGCTCCTTGTTGGCAGTGTTAATTTTTATTATGGTGTCCAAGCATTGTCCATTTTTCTTTTGTTTTATGACTACTTTTTCCCTTGTAAGTAATAAGTGATCTGTGGGACTATCCTTTAAAACAATGCAAATATCCTACTCTGCATCCAAACAACCCTGAGATGAAACACCCATGGATGATCCTTACCTGAATCAATCTTTACTCAGTGGTTGCAACATGATGGTTTTTCAGCTCTAGTCCTCCTGCATGACCCTAGGCCTGCTACTGTCAGCATGTGCCCTCCCTTGTCCTGCATTTATTCTATCTGTCCATCCCTCCTTGGCCTGGACTCATGACTCCTATTGCTTTTACTGTCCTTCATTACTCTGGCCAGCAGGACCCCCATTCAGGCTGGCTTCTGGGCTTTGTGACCACAGTGATCCTAGGGGGAGAAGGAGGTTATAGGATGGTCCCAGTGGCCTTGCAAGCTGTTTTAAAGATTTTTATTTTTAGCATAAGAAGGCTTTTAAGGCAAGGTAGCGCAGGGGAACTTGGGAGAGAATTGATGAGATTGCTACCAGGTACATATTCTGGCGTTAGAACCCACAGGACTTGCTGAAGCACTAGATGTCTGGAATGAGGTAGTGATCATTGAGGGATAACAACGAGCCTTCCCAGTTTGAGCGCTGCCTTGAAATAGGTGAGGGCAGGTGCAGTAGCTCACGCCTGTAATCCCAGCACTTTGGGAGGCCGAGGCGGGCAGATCACGAGGTCAGGAGTTCAAGACCAGCCTGGCCAACATGGTGAAACCCCGTCTCTACTAAAAATACAAAAATTAGCTGGGCGTGGTGACTCATGCCTGTAATCCCAGCTACTCGGGAGGCTGAGGCACAGAATTGCTTAAACCCGGGAGGCAGAGGTTGCAGTGAGCCGAGATCGCACCACTGCACTCCAGCCTGGGCGACAGAGCGAGATTCTGTCTCAAAAAAAAAAAAAAAAAAAAAGAAATAGGTAAGTGAGGGAGGTGAGTGGATCAAGGGTGATGTGGATGGCTTAAGTCTGAGTGGTCTCCAGTACATTCCAGTAAAGGGGTCAAGGCTGGTGAGAAGTGTAACAGCAGGACCTATGACAGTGTCAGAGGGGCCCTAACATCCAAAAGCCACACAGAGGAGGGAAGTCACCAGTGGGACCCAAGAATTGAGTAGTTGGTGTGGCATTAGAGAAGCCTGAAGTATTTCAGGCAGAAAGGAGTGATCAGCTGGGCTGAATGCTACTGAGAGGTCAAGTAATGTACGGCCAAGTATAGAAGAAATGTTTGTGAGAACGCCAGTTATCAGGCAATGAGAGTCACGCTTCTGTGAAATTTGTTAACTGAAAGACAGCATGTATAGACAGCTCTACTGAGAAGCAGGTTGAAGAGGAGCAGAGAAATGGGGTGGAAACCAGAAGATCATCTATTTTTTTTAAGATGTGAGATACTAAAGCATGTTCCAAGAAGGAGGGAAAGAGAAAGAGAAAGAATGAGACTCTTGGCTATCAAGAGAGAGGGAATAACCGAAGCCTTTTTGATTTCAGGACCAAACTTTTTGGCCTCAGGATCCATTCACACTCTTAAAAAGTATTGAGGATCCCAAAAAACTTTGATTTATGTTTATATCTATCAATATTTACCATGTTAGAAAATACAATCAATAAAAAATTTATTAACTCATTAAAAATAATAAACCCATTACATGTTACCGTTCTCTAATGAAAAACTATACTTTCCAAAAAAGTGAAAAGAGGGGCAGTTTTCTATTTCTGCAGATCTCTTTAACATCTGGCTTAGTACAAGACCGCTGGATCTCATCTTCTTTTGCGTTCAATTTGTTGCAATAGCACACATCATGTAGCTTCTGGAAAATCCCATATACTTATGAGAGAATAACAATGAAGAAGCAAGGAAAGTCTTAGTGTTATGAAAGTATTTTTTGGCCCCATGGACAGTCTGAAAGGGTCTCAGGATCCCCAGGGATTCCCAGACCACACTTACAGCACTGCCTATAATAAGGAAGGCAAATGGGGAGGGATCCAGGACACAGTTAGAGGGACTGGCCTCTGGGAGAGACCCTCTTTTGGGGCAAGAGCAAAAGAGGGGATGAATGCCAAAGTGATTGTGAAGGAGTATATTCCATTCTTACACATTCCATTTTCTCAATGGGATAAGACCCATGGTCACTGAGTGGGGTGAGGACATAGTGGGTGCGGGAGGTCTGAGACAAGCCATGGGAAAGAATTCTCTTGGTGAACAGGAAAACTAGCTGGCCAGTGAAGTATAGTCAGACTACCCAGCAGGGACCGCATAGTATCCATCTTTGCGGCACACATCAGGGCACCCAGTCTAACTGACCTGCCGCAGCCATGTGTGCAGGGAATTCCAAACTGCACGTCTGCCTGGCTGCTTCTCTCCCACAGTGAGCAGCGCGGCAGGGTGCCTAAAAGCAAGCTCCCTGGGTTCTTACTCTGCTCCTACCCCTGACTGGCAGTGTGTCCTTGAACAAAATGCCCTGTGTGCCTCAGTTTCCTATCCGTAAAATGGGAATAACCACAGCACCTGCCTCACTGGGCTGTTGTGAAGACAAATGAAGATGACAATTACATGTAAAGTACATACCTAGGATGGGTGAGTGCTTGGCATGGAAAGTGCTCCACAGGGTCAGCGACAACAATTACTATCACTCACGCGATTTATGGCGCTTCCACTCGGCCCTCTGTCTTAGTAGTAATTCACTCACTTAGCGAATATTAATGGAATGGATGCCTGCTGTGGGCATGGGCGGAGGCTGAGGCTACAGCCTGAGCAAAGCAGGCGAGCCCCGTCCTCCGGGGCTGTCTCCTCGAGCACACAAACGGACCCAGTGGGACCCGCTACCTGGTGGCACAACAGGAGTCCCCATCAGTGCTCACCCTAACGAAGGCGCAGGATGCGATAGGAGCTTTGCCAACTTTACACCAGCCAATCCTGACCACAGGCCCCAGTGGGCACGCTTAGCCTTTTACAGATGGAGAGTCTGCTTCTCAGAGCAGGGGGCTGACTTCCCCCGGCCACACGGCCCTATGCAGTTCGGTGGGACCGGGCCGACCGCCCAGCTCGCGCTAAAGCCCACGTAACAGAAACCTGCTCCCGTGACGCGAGTCGCCAGGGTTCCCGCTCCTCAGAGAACGGGACTTCCGGCGGAAATTTCTTCCGGGAGCGCAGTCTCCGTACCAACCTGGCCCCGCCCCTTCCCGTTTATCTCGAATTGACCAATCATAGCTCCGCTTCTTGCCAGGCGTGTAGGCTTATTCTCCAATCAGCGACTGCCGTCATCTCTCGGGCAACAGCGTCCTAGAGACGCCGAACGGGCGGCCCCTCTGAGACCCCGCGGCTTGGGGTCCGCGCACGCGGTTGCCGGCCCAGCTAGGCGGAGAATCGAGGAGGGGGCCCCGGTAAGGCTGCATTCGGGGTGGCCACGCGCGTGCGACAGGCCGAGGAGGGGCTGGGCGGGCGGGCAGCTCCGTGGGTCTCACTGCCCCGAGAAGGCCGGCGCTGCTGCCCACTCCCAGGCATGAAGGGGTGGTGATTTGTTTATTCACCCAGCAGGTGTTCAGAGCGCGTCTGCTTGTGCCAGGCACGTTGTAGGCCCTGGGGCCCTGTGGGAAATAGTAGGGCCCCTGTTCCCGGAGCTTACCTGATATGTGGAGAAGAACGATAAACAGCGCTGATGGTGGTGACGTCTTCTTCCCTGCATCTCTGTGAGAATCAACTGGGAAATGTGTGTGGAAATGCCCTAAATCTCACCAGTTTACAACATGACTCGTGCTTCTGATTTCATTTGTGCCCACAGCACTCTTGTGAATATCGTGATTGACTCCCTCCTGTAGACAGACGAGGACTTGAAACCTATGGGGTGAAGGGACTTTTCCAAAGTCACACAACTATCATAGGAAGTTTCTGAGCCAGAATTCAAACTCATTTCTGTCTCACGGCAAAATCTCTGCTCTTTTACACTCTTCTCCCTTAGCTTGCACATAATTACCCCTGCCTCCCTCAGAAATTTTGTTTGGAAACACTTTGTGAGGTACACATCTGTATAGGGCTTACTTGAAGGTTGTCCAAATTACCCCTCTCTCTACTCCCTTCCTTTCTCTCCAAATCTTTGCCTTTCAGGATGTCTTGCCCCTGTTAACAGGACTCTTTCTTTTCTTTTCTCTTTTCTTCTTCTCTCTTTTCCTTCCTTCCTTCCTTCCTTCCTTCCTTCCTTCCTTCCTCCCTCCCTCCCTCCCCCCCTCCCCCCCTCCCCTCCCCTCTCCTCCCCTCTCTTCCCCTCTCCTCTACTCTTTCTTTCCTTCTTCCCCTCCCCTCCCCTCTCCTCTCCTCCCCTCTCCTCTACTCTCCTCCTCCTTTCCTTCCTCCTCTCCCCTCCCCTCTCCTTCCCATCCCCTCCCCTTCCCCTCTGCTCCCCTCCCCTCTCCTCTCCTTTTCTTTCCTGATGGAGTCTTGCTCTGTCACCCAGGCTGGAGTGCAGTGACACGATCCCATCTCACTGCAACCTCCGCCTCCTGAGTTCAAGCGATTATTCTCGTGCCTCGGCTCCCCAAGTAGTTGGGATTTACAGGCTCCTGCCACCACGCCCAGCTAATTTTTGTATTTTTAGTAGAGATGGGGTTTCACCATGTTGGCCAGGTTGGTTTCAAACTCCTGACCTCAAGTGATCTGCTCGCCTTGGCCTAATTTAATATGTGCTCCTAAATGAGTGGACTTAACAGAAATGCTGTAAATAAATTCTACTTTCATACACTACAGTGCATGTCTTTTATCCATTGCCTTCAATTCAGCGAATGTTTACTTGGCTAAGTTCTGGGGATATGAAAATGAGTCAGAAATGCCCTCTTTGAATTTATGCAAAGATATTTGCCTCCTACCCAGTCTTATTGAAAGATCTTTTGAGGATGAGGATTTTATTTTAGTTATCTGTGCTTTCCCTTTTTCCTCTGCTCATTTTAATGCTTGGTTCATGATAGGTGATCATAGATATTTATCAAGAAGTGCTTACCTGAGACTGTAAATTTCGCTCTCCAGGGAAAAACTGCCCTGTTCCAGCTATCCACTTCTTCCCCTTATGCAGAGATCTCTATAGCACCCATGCTGTGATCCCTGCAGCTGATTGGCACCTGGAGACAGAACCAGCTCCATGAGGATGTTTCGTAGCCTGGTGCCTGACCAGATCAGGAATCCAGTGGGAGGCCGCTGGATGTTAACAAGGCAGTTGTTAACAACTGCAACAGGTTTAAGAAAACTGAATAGAGATAACATGAGTATGATACCCTTTCAATACTAAAAGCTTCATTTTCTACTTTTGGTTTTGATCTTTCACTGCTTATTTTGTTTACTTTGTTTCAGATACCATTTGTTACTTTTTCTTTCCATCTATTTGTCCACAGTTTTACTACTTCTATTTCTACTACAACAACTACTAATACTACTACTGGCGAATACTAATTGAACACTTACTATGTGCCAAGCACAGTTTGGTGCCTCATACATTTTACATTTAGTCTTCACAAGTTGGCTATGAAAAAGTACAAGTTGGGTGCGGTGGCTTATGCCTGTAATCCTACCACTTTGGGAGGCTGAGGCAAGAGGATTGCTTGAGGCCAGGAGTTTGAGACCAGCCCAGGCAACAAATTGAGACCCCCATCTCTATGGTGGCATTTGCCTGTACTTCCAGCTACTTGGTAGCCAAAGGTGGGAGGATCACTTGAGCCCAAGAGTTTTAGGTTGCAGTGAGCCATGATCATGCCACTGCACTCCAGCCTGGGCGACAGAGTGAGACCCTGTCTCAAAAAACAAAACAGGCTGGGCGCAGTGGCTCCCGCCTGTAATCCCAGCACTTTGGGAGGCTGAGGTGGGTGGATCACCTGAGGTCAGGAGTTCAAGACCAGCCTGGCCAACATTGTGAAACCCCATCTCTACTAATACAAAAAATTAGCCAGGTATGGTGGCAGGCACCTGTAATCCCAGATACTCCAGAAAATGAGGCAGGAGAATCGCTTGACCCTGGGAGGCAGAGGTTGCAGTGAGCTGAGATTGTGCCATTGCACTCCAGCCTGGACAATAAGAGTAAAACTCCATCTCAAAACAGACAAACCAAAACCAAACAAAACAAAAGGCAAGAGGAACACAGAGAGGTTAAGGGACTTAACAAAGCTGATAAATGGTACTGAGTATGCCTCCAACTCCAGGACTGCCTGATAATCACTTGTGTTCTTGATGAGAAAGCTATCACTCTCAAATATTTATATACTGTACAAGTCCTGCCAAGGCTTTGAGATGACTTGTAAGAATAACTACAATGCAGTAAAATAGAAACATGTAAATCAGAATCATTAAAAATATAGACAGAATAGGAAGGTATCAGAAAGAAGGAATACTCAGATCATCTCTAATGGTTAATAAAGTTGGGCTGGAGATTTAGCTGGGAGCTTCTTGTCAACTCATGGAAAAATAAAAGTAAAAAAATAGAAGGTAGTAAAATTTATTTTTTTTCCAGGCAAATAAGGCCTTTTGATTCATCTGGAAAAATAGGTCTAACCTATTTCTAAAATAAATTTCTCACAGGGCTCATCACAGAGGATTGGAAGGGCCTAGATTACTGCTCAATGACAAAAGTGTGGGCTTAATGTCCTCACTCTTCAGGGAGAGAATGTGGACTCTAGCATTTGAATTGAATATTTGAAATTGAAGATTTCTGAATAGTAAGTTTTCAATAACACCTTCTGAATGTAGTTTTTCCCCTGGGACGTTGTAAATGGTGTTATCCTGCATGCTGGGTTGGTTTCAGTCATTTGTTTGTTCGTTTACTTAGCAGTTATTCACTGAGCGCCTGCCATATGCCATCCCCTGCCTAAGCACTGGGTATCCCCGGGCGGTGGTCATCTCACTGCTTTGGCACTCCTGGTGTTTCCATCCTGCCAGTTCTTCCTGCTGGGTTTTATTCTGGACTCACTTTTTGTTTTTTCTCTGTTATTTTATTCTGATATTCTGAGGTGACACCTATAACCGTATGCTTTTTTTTTTTTTTTTCTTCCCCCAGTGCTCTGATTTATCTTTCTGTATATCCTCGGGACCTAAAAATAACAGCTACCAAATAGCTAAAGCTCACTGTGTGCCAAGCACTTCACGAATATCACCTGTGATCCAGCCACAGCCTTTAGAGCGGTGGCATTTACCTGCCTTTTACCACAGCCTTTAGAGCAGTGGCATTGGGGTCACCTGCCTTTTGAGAAGTGCTCTAGAAAAATCGTCTGACACACAGTTTTGCATCTCAGCGAGTCTGTAGGGCTACAAAAGCACACACATGGACCGTGATTCCATGTTAAGAATACTTGCTTAAAGGAGAGGTATTCCAGCTGTCCCTCAGTATCTGTGGGAGATTCATTTCAGCAGCCACTCGAAGATACCTAGATTCATGGATGTTCAAGTCCCTTATATAAAATGGTGTAGTATTTGCATATAACCTACACAATCCTCCCATATGCTTTGAATTATCTTTAGATTACTTACAATACCTAATACAATGTAAACACAATACCTAAATACAATGTAAATGGAAATCGTTATACCATATCATTGAGACAAGGGAAAAACTCCATACATGTTCAATACAGACACCAACATCCCTATTTTTCCTGAATGTTTTCCATCCACGGTTGAATCCGTGGATGTGGAATCCATGGATATGGAAGGCAACTGTATCTCCCTTTTTCAAATGAGGAAACTGAGTCAGGAGGAGGTTAATTAACTTGCAAGTTCTTGTGGTAGATAGTGGAGCCAGTTTGACCCTATGCCTGTTGGATGCCAAAGCTTTTGATTTTTCCAGTGTCCAAGAATGTAGATGCTCAGTAAATGGCCGATGTATATATGGAAGTGTGTGGAAGGCTATAAAGGGAACTTGATAGTTGATGTGTCCCAAAATATAACAGAACATCCATTTGATATCAGTATAGACAAGAAGATTTTTCTCAAGTGTTTGGATTTAACTGCCAAAACCTTTTGTGTTGCTTACAATTTTTTTCCAATTTAGTCGAGTGATAATTTCCACACCCCCCTCCATGATACAGTTCCAGCAATTTTTGCTTCTGGTGCCATTTCTGTTTGGCTGTGCACACTTTTTACTCTTGTGTTGAATTATGTTTTCTCTGGATGCCAAGGCAGATGGATGGCACTTTTGTTATGATTCTGATATAAATAGCATGTGTTTAAAACTGGACATCAATACTTCTCTGGCAAATAAACAAATATATCAGTGAGATAGCCTTCTAATTGTGTTTTTCCCCTTGGTTAAGAAGTGTATTTGATGGTCTGTGACTTGATGCTTATTTTGGGGGTATTAGTTTTTATGATCCTTGCCAATTTCTACCTCACCAAGTTCTGAAGTAATCACATTCGTGAATGTCTCAAAATTCTCTTTATTTTGAAAACCTCAGCTGAGGATAGTGTAAAGTCAGGGGTGAGCTACAGAACTCCTTACAGTGCCTTGGTCTTACTCAGAACCTTGTTTAGCTTTCAAAATCAAGGGTAAAATTAGCCTAAGCTTCTATCCCTTGCAGTCGTAATGTTGATAACTGTGGTCCATCAAGAGCAAAGATTAATGGGGTGCTTATCGCATGCTATGCCATGCTGAGTGTAAAAAGGTAAGTGGAGTCCACTGGAGGGACTTGTTGTCTAGCAGGGGCCAACAGAAAGGTCTGGAAGCAGAGAATCAAAGTGAAAATTGAGGTAGGACTAGAGGAATAGATGGGAAAATATTAGAACTTTTACTTCATGTTTTACCCACCACATCTGTAGCCCTACAGCAAAGTGATGTAAGTATGAGTGGCTTTTATCTTTTGGTTCTTTTCTTTATTAAATGAAACAATTAGCAAAGCATACCTATAAGACTTAAGTTCTTTGTAAAAGCATGATTAATTTTGGACAATAGGAAAGTCTCCTGAAGGAAGGGGATATACCCTCAGTCTTGAAAGAGTAATTGAAGTGTGCCAGGTGCAAAAGAATGAAGGAAATTCTAGCACAGGCATGAACCAAAACTCAGAAGTGAGGAACTACGTGGTGTATTGGGAGCACTGGGTGAGAACGTAGCATGCCTGGAGGTAATGGCGTCTGGAAGAGTCACCTGAAGCCAGGTGGTTAATTATGTGAATGACCTTCTACCCCACAATTAAGAGTTTGAATTTCAGGCCTCGTGCGGTGGCTCATGCTTGTAATCCCAACACTTAAGGAGGCTGAGGTGGGAGGGTCACTTGAGCCCGGAAGTTCGAGACCAGCCTGGGTAACATGGCGAAACCCTGCCTCTACAAAAATTAGCCAGGTGTAGTGGCACGCACCTGTAGTCCCAGTTATTCAGGAAGCTGAGGCTAAGGTGCAAGGATCACTTGAGCCCTGAAGGTGAGGTTGCAGTGAGCCGAGATTGCACCACTGCATTCCAGCCTAAGACCTCCTCTCAAAAAAAAAAAAAAAATTGAATTTCAGTCTCTATGTCCTGGAAAAGCATTACTTCTTTTCTTTTTTCTCTTCTCTTCTCTTCTCTTCTTTTCTTCTTCTTCTCTTCTTTTCTCTTTTCTTTTGAGATAGTCTCACTTGGTCACCCAGGCTGGAGTGCAGCGGTGTGATCTCAGCTCACTGCAACCTTCGCCTCCAAGGTTCAAGTGATTCTTGTACCTCAGCTTCCCCAGTAGCTGGGATTACAGGCACCCACCACCACGCCCAGCTAAATTTTTGTATTTTTAGTAAAGTCAGGATTTTGCCATGTTGGCCAGGCTAGTCTCGAACTCCTGGCCTCAAGTGATCTGCCCACCTTGGCCTCCCAAAGTGTTGGGATTACAGGCATGAGCCACCGCTCCCAGCCCTATTTTTTCTTTCTTAAAAAAAATTTTATTTATTTTTATTGATGCATAATCCATGTACATAGTTCAGGGTACATGGGATAATTTAATACATTCATATAATTTGTAAAGATCAAATCAGTATACTTGGGATATCCATCACCTTAAATATTTGTCTTTTCTTTATGTTAGAACCATTCAAATTCTTCTCTTCTAGCTATTTTGAAATGTACAATAGGTTATTGTAATCTATAGTCACCTTACTGATCTATCTAACACTAGGTGTTATTTCTTCTGTCAGACCATATATTTGTACCCGTTAATCAACCTCTCTTCACCCTCTCCTCCCCTCTACCTTTCCTGGCCTGTGCTAACCACCAATTTACTCTATCTTTGTGAGATCCAATTTTTCAGCTCTTCCATACGAGTGAGAACAGGCAACATTCTTCTTTTCTGTGCTTGGCTTATCTCACTTTTTAATCAGAATGTCACATAATGACCTCCAGTTCTATCCATGTTGCTACAAATGGCAGAATTTTATTCTTTTTTATGACTGGATAATATTCCACTGGGTATATGTACCACATTTTCTTCATCCATTCATCCAGTGATGGTCACTTAGGTTGATTCTATTTTGGCTATTGTGAATTGCGCTGCAATGAACATGGATAGATGTCTTTTTGATATATTGATTTCCTGTTTTGGAGATACACACCCAGTAGTGGAATTGCTGCATCATTTGGTGGTTCTATTTTCAGTTTTTTGAGGAAAGTCCGACTATTCTCCATAGTGGCTGTGCTCATTTACATTCCCATCAGCAGCGTACAAGGGTTCCCCTTTCCCTGCATGCTTGCCAGCATCTGTTACTGCCTGTCCTTTGGATAAAATCCATTTTATCCAAAATGGGGTGAGATGATATCTCATTGTGCTTTTGATTTGCATTTCTCTGATGATTAGTAATGTTAAGCATTTTTTCATATACCTGTTGGCCGTTTGGATGTCTGCTTTTGAGAAATGCCTATTCAGATCTTTTGCCCACATATAAATCAGATTGTTTACTTGCTGTGAGCTGTTTGAACTCCTTATATATGTATTCTAGTTGTTAATCCTTTGTCAGACGAGTAGTTTGCAAATATTTTCTCCCATTTTGTGAGTTGTCTTTTCACTTTACTGCTTGTTTCCTTTGCTGTGCAGAAGATTTTAGCTTAATGTAATCCCATTTGTCTTCTTTGGCTTTGGTTGCCTGTGGTTTTGAAGTCTTACACAAAATATCTTTGCTTACACCAGTGTCATGAGGCAATTCCCCAATGCTTTCTTCTAGTAGTTTCAGGGTTTTGGGTCTTAGATTTAAGTCTTTCATCCATTTTGATTTTATTTTTGTGTATGGTGAGAAACAGGGCTCTAGTGCCATTCTTCTACATACAGTTATCCAGTTTTCCCAGCACTATTCATTGAAGAGACTGTCTTTTGCCATTGTGTGTTCTTGGCATCTTTGTCAAAGATGAGTTGGCTGTAAACGTGTGGATTTGTATCTGGGTTTTCTATTCTGTTCCATTGTTCTCTGTGTCTGTTTTTATGCCAGTGACATGCTGATTTGATAGCAATAGCTTTGTAGTAAATTTTGAAGTTATGTAGTGTGATGCCTTCCACCTTGTTCTTTTTGCTCAGGATTGCTTTGTCTACTAGGGATCTTTTGTGGTTCCATGTAAATTTTAGGATTTTTTTTTCTATTTCTATGAAGAATGCCATTGGTATTTTGGTAGGGATTGCACTGAATCTGTAAATGGGTAGTATTGCCATTTTAACAACATTAATTATTTCAATCCATGAACATGAAATACCTTTCCATTTGCTGGTGTCCTCTTCAATTTCTT